TTTTTTTTTTTTTTCTAAGAGTTGCAGAAGAGATGGCTCAGCAGTTAAGAATTCTGGCTAGTCTTCCTGAGGACCAAGGTTTAATTTCTAGCACCCACATAGTGGATCACAACTTTCTGAAACTCCAATTTCAGGTTCCCTTTTGGCTTTCATGGGGACCAGGCATGCAAGTTGTATACAGGCACACATGTAGGCAAAGCACCCACACACAAAATAAAAATTTTTTAAATATTATTTTTCTAAACTTTAACTTTTTGTTTGGTTTTACACAAGTTTCATAAACATGTCTGAATCCAAATACTTGTTTCTCTTATTCTTATTCTTCAGAGTACAATAGATTATTCAGACCCAAAGAAGGCCATAATTGGGAAGACAGCTCACTGGCAGGTCCTGAAGCTACCCTGTCTAGATGAAGTACCTGTTCAATAGATGTCTGGCTCAGTGAACGCAGTCAGGGACAGCCACAGCAGCAAAAGAGGGTGGTCTGGGGAATTGTATGTGGTTTAGCTGACTGGAGTAATCAAGTCTTGACTGCACCTTGCCTGCGCTGGTACCAGGTAAAGCCTATGTACTTTGGAAGACAGGAAACAGCACTATTTCTTTCCTTTCTTTTCTTTTTGGTTTTTGGAGTCAGGGTTTCTCTGTGCTGCCTTGGCTGTCCTGGACTCAATTTGTAGACCAGGCTGGCCTCAAACACAGACAGATCTGCCTGCCTCTGCCTCCCCGAGTGCTGGGATTATAGGTTTGCCCAACCACAACTGGGCTATTTCTTTTCTTTCTTAATAATTAATAAAAATATTTATTTTAAAGAAAGATCTTAAACATTTAATGATACAATGTTCTACCTACATTTGTGCCTGCACACAAGAAAAGGTTACCAGAACTCATTATAGATGGTTGTGAGCCATCATGTGGTTTCTGGGAATTGAATTCAGGACCTCTAGAAGAGTAGCCAGTGTTGTTAACCTTGAGCCATCTCTCCAGCCCCTTCTTTCCTTTCTTAAGGACTGCTTTCCTCTCCTCCTTTGGGAAGTTTGCAGTGCTCTGCTTCCTCTTCTTTTGCTGAGCCCTCTGTCTGCTCTAATTGAGTGCTTTTACCAGCATACCCTAAGTCTTGCTGCTTTTAGTCTCTTCCTGAGCCCTTTGCCTTGCACTCTTTACGTAGATGAAAGCACTCTAGGGTGGGCCCAACAGCCTGCTTACTGATCACCCCCTCCTGGATTCAGGGTGAACTGCACAGTGTACAGAATCCTTGATCACCTGTGCCAACGCTGAAGTCCAGACAGGCCCACTTAGAACCAGCTGGCTCTTGCCACAGCCTTTGCCTATCTTTTAAAAAACCAGACTGCCTAGCAGGGGTGGGGATGAGGAGCAGGGTGGAGGGTGGCACATGACTTTGATCCCAGCACTCTGGAGGCAGAGGCAGGCAGATCTCTAAGTTCAAGGCTAGCCTGGTCTACAGAGTGAGTTCCAGGACAACCAGGGCTATGAAAGAAATCCTGTTTCAAAAAATAAATAAGCAAAAAACAAAACAAAAACAAAAACAAAAACAAAATCATGACCAATTAAGAAAAGAGTACCTAGTGCCTAGCTGAGGAGAAGCCAGGAAAACTGCCTCAAGTTGGAGACCAGCCTGGTCTACACAGTAAGGTACACCAGGCTGGCCTACAGTATGAGTCTCTGTCTCAACACCACTACTACCACCAACAATATGACCATCTGAATGAAGTACAATGAAAACGTTAAAAAAATTACTATACTAAGAATGTCACTTAAGACCAAATCCCTGATCACCTATGCATTTATTTTCTTCCCCATCATCAATATTTATTGGGCACTTTACAGTGTATTTGGTTTTCTATCTTTAGATCTAGTCTCATGTAGCCCAGAATGACATGAAATTCACTGTGTAGCTGAGGCTAGATTTGAACTCTTGATCTGTCTCTGCCTCCTCAGTGCTCAGATGTCCAAATTTTTTTAAATGTATCTTTCAGATATGCAGACAAGCATGCACAAATATGACTATTTAATTTTATTGCATTTAATACTTCATGTACGTGAATCTAATAAAAAATTATTTGCAGGCTAAACATGGGGTGGAAAACCCCAGTGACACTTTTCTCCTTTTCCTTAGGGCTTAAGGGGATTAAAAGTTAATCAACACACATTTCTTTCCACGGGCTGATTGATGTCATTTGCATATGTCTTCCCATTAGAGCAAGGTAGGACTTGTGAAAGACTGGCTCAGAGACTAAAGGATGAGCTCAGAAGTGGCAAAAAACAAACAACACTCAAAGTGTCTCTATCAATTAGGATGTGTCCCAAACTTATACCTCCGGCTGAACGTGTGAGCCTGGCTTTGGGTGTCAAACCGAAATCTTGTTTGAGGGGCAGGTATCAGCTGATAGGCTATGCCCAGTCCTGGGCACAAGGATGCGTGATGTCATCCAGTCTATCTCATTGTCTAAGCCAAATATGGAGAGAGCTATGCCAACAGCTGCCAGCATGATAAGATCCAAGAAAGGCCAGCTACACACACACACACACACACACACACACACACACACACACACACACA